ACCCCCCCTCCCCCCTACCCTTCCCTCCCTCCTTCCATTTGGCTATTTATCTACTAATTTGAAACATGTACATTTAATTGCACCGGTTTAGAGCACGCTTGCTTCTAAATGGGAGATATGTCTACTGATAAACGCACTGAATTATTGGAACAATGCCAGGAATTGTTCCCTATTTCGCAAATAGAGCAATATATATCCAGAGATTCGATACGTTTCCCAGTTCATTTTCTGTCGAACTTGGCGCAGTTAATCGAGGTGCGTATAACTGGAAGGACTCAATTTAAGTAAAGTATTTATTTATTTATATCAAATGGAAGGCGTTTTGATGATTATTATTAGCCCTTTGGTTGACTTTAGGCTTCACACAGGGAGGGGAACATCAAATCGAAAAAGTCGAGAGGTGGGGGGGGGGGGCAGAAGAGTGTTTCAAAGGTGTAAGAGACAAACACAAAGGTAGAAAAAAGGTGAGGTGAGTACTGTGGAATTGGTGAAATATGACATACAGTGGAGTCACGGTTGTTAGAAGTGAGAAGTCAACTGCCAGTTAATAGACCTTTTTGTCGTATGAGTATACGTTGCCCAGGGTGCACCACGTTGAGTTAGTATGGTATGTTAAACCTATGCAGCACTCAAGAAAAAATTTTAGTTTTGGTGAAAAATAGATTGACTCAAATGTATTTGGCATATTTAAATAATATCGTTTAAAAGTTTTTCTGTTTTATTAAGGCGGTGGAAACTTTGGGCAGGTCGTGAAGGGTATCTACCATACGCCTCAAGGACAAGATGTCGAAATTGCCGTCAAAACTCTGAAGGAGTCACAAATCGCTTCGACTGGTGAGGTACGTTAATTTATGTTCAAATTTAGCAACTGCTCGATTGAGCTGCACTAGGCGTTGTGTTTGGAAATCACCAATTGTGCTTTAGCTCGAGGATAACACTTTTGTTGATGAAAGTTAAGATGCTTTGTATGAATTACTAGTTGAAGGTCTACAAAAGGTTTCAAAGCAATTTATCGGCTCTATGATTCATGCAAGTAGGAGCCCGAAGAGACAGACAGATGCAAAAGATAGAGAAAAAGGTAAGGTGAGTTGAGTACTGTGGAAGTGGTCGAATATGACTTACAGTGGGATCATGGTAGTTTGAAGTCAACTGTCGGTTTATGGACTTTTTTACCTTATGAGTATACGCTGCCAATGGTACACCACTTGGAGGTAAGTCTATTGCTTACCCCGGGATCGAAACTTTATTCTTGAAATCTGTCTCTAAATCTCTCCTTATTTTGGATTTGATTATTACCATCGATGAGATAGATGCCCAATCACACAAGAGCACAGCAGTTTCCTCAAGGAAACTGAATTATGTGTTTCTCAAAGTAATAACACTTTGCTACTTCCCACTTGGCCTTTGTGAAAGCTACAGTTTGTCGGATTCAAAAAGAATGGAAAAGTTAACTTAATTGGGCTTGAAATCGGTGGAAAATGATTTGCTGCTCAGTTGGCCAATAATTGCAGCGAATTTCTCTCTGCAGGTGGTCCTAACTAACCAGTTGAGTGTGGGAAATCGATGGTCCATAATCGAGAACATGGGGGTTTAAAATCATGAGTATCTTTCGGATGTAACGAAAATATTCAATTAGGCTTTCCCACAATTACCAATAGGAAGATAAAAATTTTATTATAACCAATATTAGTAGAAGGGAAGGGTGTTACTGGGGGTGAACTACCCTTGCAATCGTGATATTGTTTGACTAGTGAATACGATTGGTCTAATAGCACAGAGTGATCTCTTGCGTGTTTGGTTTTCGTATCGGCCATTACGTAATTGAAACAAAGTGGGCCTTGGTTGTGCTTGCGTATGCTCTTATTCACCCTTAGTCTGGCTCCATTAACTTCATCTAATACTTTATTTAGATATTATGAGTTTCGATAATTTGACGATTTTGTGTCTGACAACCTCTCGCCATACGAAGAAGGCAAGGTAGGGGAGGGGGGGGGGGAGAGGGTTGATGGGACAATAAAGTTCATATCCATGTTAAGCAATCCTATCTCCTTATGAGGTGAAATTCATCCTCTTCATCTCATAAGTTTTATACACATGCCACTTTTTTTCATTTTGTAGCAGACCATTCTCTCCGAGGCCAAAACAATGACTCAACTGAAGCATAGACATATTGTCAGATTAATCGGTATGTTAATGGAGGAAATGTTCGTCCTACCCTAACATGTTTGCTGTTGGCGTTTGTAGGATTCAGTTCAGTAATCACCAAACTAGTGTAATTATTAGCATCGAATTGCGGTCAACAGTGATAGTTGTTGAATCGATTTGAATGCTTAGAAATAGGTGAAATTAGAGGTCCTCCGAAAGGGGAGCTCAAATGTGACAGTTCGGCCAGTATAGATACTCATGTCTTTAAGTGGATGTGCATATAAAAGAGTGCACCCAACTTTCCAGATCACTATGACATCCTCTGTAATTTCATGAAAGGAGGAAGGTGGCCAATTGAATATTGGTTCCCATGCTTTAACTAATCCTCATTTTTTTCACTCGGCAATGTTCTACTTACATAACATTTTTTCGTGAGTCAGACTAGATTTGAGTTCTCTTAATTTTTCATTAAATGTGAATTTAGTTTGTTATGCCACTTAATTTGCTCGGAGACTTAATGCATTTCTTGCAATGCAAAACTTAATGCACTCCGTGCTGAGACAGTGTTAAAGTGTGTGTGTCTTTTAAGGGATCAACCCAGAAAAATGCGATTAATCCTGTAAGTAATCAAATTGAGAGCATTCACTTTGACACCACTTTTCAAACATTTATTTATTTATAACAAATGGCAGGCGTTTTGATAGTTATCATTAGCCCTTTAGTTGACTTCGGGCTTTGCAGAGGGGAGGGAACATCAAAGTGAAAAAAGTCGAGAGAGGTGGGGGGGGGGGGAACAGAAGAGTGTTTCAAAGATGTAAAGAGACAGACACAATGGTAGAGAAAAGGTGAGATGATTACTTTGAAAGTAGTCGATTATGACATACGGTGAGGTGATGGTAGTTTGAAGTGAGAAGTCAATAGACATTTTTGCCATATGAGTATACGTTGCCTAGAGTGCACCACGTGTAGGTAAGTCTATCGCACGCCGCACATTTCAAACATAATTGAAGGGAAATTTGCATGACCTCTTAACGTAGATCTTGTGATTATAAATTATATAACTGTGGTGTCCCTTTTATATTCACCCGTCTTCATAACCCACTATACAGTCTGAATTGTCATTCAATGGACTGATCATTAACGACGCAGTATTAATCTACCTAATTCTAATCCGAAATCGCTTTCTATTAGAAATATCCCTCATAGGATGAATATATTTGTAGTAACAGTTGCAAAACCTTAAACTGGATGGATGACAAAGTGAATCCCCCCTTTGTTCCCTCACAAATGAAACTAATCAAATGTTATTGACATTTCTAGGTATTTGCAAAGCGCAGCATTTCATGTTGATCCTCGAATTGGCGCCGTTGGGTCCAATCAATAAGTATCTGAAGAAACACTTGTACGTGCACCAATCTTTTCATATTTTAAAAACACTCCACAACAAATGTTATTTTTTTCAGGATTGCTTAATGGTTATTAGTAATTATGCTTAATTGTGTTTGATAGACTCTCTAATTAAATCCCAATGCAGTTTTATCCATTTTTGTCAATAAAAGCTTAAATAATTGTAGTGCGCAAAATTTTATTTTCTTTCGTGTTTTTTTTACTTGTGGGCATTAATCAATTTCATGTTATATTTGCCTCTCAAACACCAATGGCGCATATATTGTAAAACTAACCAATAGGGGGTTTGTATTTTGGTTCTAATTTGTGATAATTTGGCTTATTGATTTAAGATAAAAATTTATTTATTTATAACAAATGGCAGGCGTTTTGATAG